ACATGTTGAAGCAAGATAAGATAGAAAATGCTCATTTGGCTTATGCCTCTAAGGATAAGGGCAAGAAAAGAAAGAATGATAATAAAGTTGCTAAGGGTCCAGTTCAGAAGAAACAACATAAGGATAATCAGGGTTGTTTTTTCTGTAACAAGCCTGGACATGTAAAGAAGGATTATACCAAATATTACGTTTGGCGTACTAACAAGGGTATGTTCCTTACTTTGGTCTATTCTGAGGTTAATTTAGCTTCAGTACCTAGAAATACTTGATGGTTAGACTCTGGTGCTACTACTCACCTAAGTATTTCTATGTAGGATTGCCTGAGCTACCGAAAGCCAAGTGATATTGAAAGACACATCTTTGTGGGCGACGGTCAATCGATAGATGTGGAAGCAATTGGGCACTTTAGGTTGCTATTAGGAACTGGTTCATATTTAAATTTAAAAGATACTTTTGTAGTACCGTCTTTTAGACAGAATTTGGTTTCTGGTTCTGTATTGGACAAATCAGGTTATCATTGTTCATTCGAAAACAGTTAATTTAGTTTATCTTTTAATTCAAATGTTGAGGGAACCGATTACTTGAGTACTTATGACAACCTATATTTACCTGATACAATTGCTTCTTATAATGAATCCTTACATGTGGAATCATGTGGTACTAAACGTAAATTAAATAAGAAAAATTTAGCTACATTATGGCATAAGCGCTTGGGTCATATCTAAAAAGGTAGAGTTGAGTGTCTTGTGTCTGATGGCATTTTGGATTCCCTTGATTTTTCAGATTTCAACGTATGTGTTGAATGTATTAAGGGAAAACAGACCAAAGTTAAGAGATTAGGTACCAAAAGATCTTCAAACGTCTTAGAATTGATACATACGGATATTTGTGGGTCATTCCCTACAGCATCTTGGAATGATCAATAATATTTTATATCATTCCTAGACGATTACTCACGTTATGGGTATCTATATCTCATTCATGAAAATCTGAGTCTCTAGACATGTTCAAAGCCTATAAAGCTAAAGTTGAGAATCAACTCAACAAAAGAATTAAAACCGTTAGATATGATTGTGGTGGTGAGTACTACAACAGATATGATGGTTCAGGTGAACAACGTTCAGGACCATTTGCTAGATATCTAGAGAAATACGGTATCGTCCCACGGTACACTATGCCGGATTCACCTAGCATGAATGATGTAGCTGAAAGACGAAACAGGACTCTTAAGGATATGGTAAGAAGTATGGTTGCTCATTCTTCTTTACCAGAGTCACTCTGGGGAGAAGCACTAAAGACAGCAGCTTACATTCTGAACAGAGTACCAAGTAAAGTAGTTGCTAAAACACCTTATGAGCTTTGGACTGGTCGAAAGCCCAGTTTAAAGCATTTACATATTTGGGGATGTTCAGCTGAGGTTAAGCCTTATAGGCCAAATAAAAAGAAATTGGACTCCAAAACAGTTAGCAACTTTTTTATTGTATATTCTAAATGCTCTAGGGGCTATAAGTTTTATGATCCTACACTCAGGAATATTTTTGAGATAGGAACAGCAACATTCTTTGAGGATGTTAAGTTTGGAGGAGAAATAAGGTTAGAAACATTGCTTTTGAGGATGAATTGGCTTCAGATCCAATCCATACAGTTACTTTTGACAATCTTCAGGTTCATATATCTCTTGTTGCTCAAGAAGTAAATCTGAAACCTCAAGATGACAATATTGAACAACTTCCTATTCCAGAAGAACAAACTTAACAACCTCAAGAACCAGTGTCTTTAAGGAGATCCATGAGAGAAAGGAGAAATGCTATTCCGAATGATTATATTGTATTTCTCCAAGAACATGAGGATAATAATAGAATGTTGGAAGATGATCCAATTAACTTCCTTCAGGCCATAAAAAGTTCTAACTCTCAACAGTAGATTGATGTCATGAATGAAGAGTACAAGTCTATGCAGGACAATAAGGTTTGGGAACTTGTCCCATTGCTAGAAGGTGCAAAACCAATTAGTTGTAAATGGATTTTAAGAACCAAACGAGATGCAAATGGTAATATGGAAAGGTATAAGGCACGTTTTGTAGCTAAATGCTTTACTCAAAATGAAGGCACTGATTATACAGAGACTTTCTCTCCGGTTTTATCGAAAGACTCTTTCAGAACAATCATGACGTTTGTTGCTCATTTTGATCTTGAGTTACATCAGATGGATGTTAAGACTGTATTTCTCAATGGCGATATTGATGAGATGATTTATATAGTGCAACCAGAAAACTTTGTGTCAGGAGATCCGAAGAATATGGTTTGCAAATTAAGTAAATCCATCTATGGACTCAAGCAAGCTCCTCATCAATGGTATTATAAGTTTTAACAAATAATTATCTCGTTCGGTTTTGAGGTGAACATTATTGATGACTGTGTATATCACAAGTTCAGTGGGAGTAAGTTTATTTTTCTGGTTCTATATGTCGATGACATATTACTTGCTACTAATGATATAGACATGTTGTACGAAACCAAGAGATTTCTATCAAAGAATTTTGAGATGAAAGATCTTGGGGACGCCTCTTTTATATTAGGAATCCAGATACATCGAGATCATTCTCGATATATACTTGGATTATCACAAAAGAACTATATCGATAAAGTACTTAAAAGGTTTGGCATGTAAGACTGCAGACCAGGAGACACCCCTGTTGCTAAAGGAGACAAGTTCAGTCTCAATCAATGTCCTAAAGGTAACCTTAAAATTCAGGAAATACAGAAGATTCCTTATGCTTCGGCTGTAGGAAGTCTAATGTATGCTCAAGTGTGTACGCGTCCAGATATTACGTACATTGTTGGGATATTAGGCAAATACTTAAGCAACCCGGGTATGGATCATTGGATAGCAGTTAAAAGGGTTATGAGGTATCTTCAGAAAACAAAAGATTATATGCTCACATACAGAAAATCAGAACAGTTGGAGGTCATTGGATACTCTGATTCTGATTTTGTTGGATGCCAAGATAGCAGAAAGTCTATATCAAGCTATATTTATTTCATCAACTAGCACTAGTCTGATATGAACCATTAGGAGTAATTGGTTAAATACATTGACTAGTAGGATGAGCTATATCATGAAAAAGTGTCAAACAGACACTTGTAGCTTCCTCCACTATGGCAGTACAATTTGTAGTTTGTTATGAGGTATCCAATTAGAAAATATGGCTGCAAAATTTTATCACGGGACTGCACATTCTGAAAAATATGGAAAGACTACTAAGGTTATATTATGACAATAAATCTACAGTAATGTATTCCAATAACAACAGGAGCCCAACTAAGTCAAAACATATTGACATTAAGTTCCTGATTGTGAAAGAAATGGTATAGAGTGGATAGATATCCATAGAGCACATTAGGACAAACTCCATGATTGTTGATCCTCTTACTAAAGGTTTGCCATCTAAGGTCTATCTTGAGCACACTGCTCGTATGGGTGTGGTATTATTTGAGGATATCATAATTTAGTGGAAGTTTGTAATTATGGTACTTTATGTTTGATTATGTTGTCTGATCAGAATAAAGTCTTCAGTTAAGACACTCTGTTCCATAATGTTGAGGTTGACCTCACTAATGTTGTCTGATCAGAATAAAGTCTTCAGTTAAGACACTCTGTTCCATAATGTTGAGGTTGACCTCACTAAAGTTTAAGGTAGGACCAGTTAAGACACTCTGTTCCATAATGTTGAGGTTGACCTCACTAAAGTTTAAGGTAGGACCAGTTAAAAATAGACATGTATTGATCACATTGCATGTAATTTTTATGCTGCACATCCATGATTGATCTATGTCATTTGATTGTATTTGTATATGTGACCATTGATGGGTCGAGTCACGATAAATATGACGAAGACCGTTTTGATCCTATATTGATATAGTCAATAGACGAGATTGTTGTTCGGAAATACCTTTTCAGTGATAGCAATTCTGAGCTCATAAGGTTATACACAATTTAAGGAATCATATGGCGCCTAAGTGGGAGATTGTTAGATTTAAATCTAATTAAATCTATTTGTAGGCATATATGATTAATCATTATGTATTGTTATCTTTAAGGATAATCCACTTAAAGTGATCAATCAATTGGGTTAATGGGTATTTAAATAATCATGGGCTAAATGTGCATATACCAGGTTGTAATTATAATTTGATGAGGGGACAAATTACAAATGTATAACACCTATATATGAGGTTATGGTCCCTAATCTAGGGTTAGCCACTCTCATTCTCTTATCACCATCTAAAAAGATTCTAAAGGGAGAAACCCTAAGATTAGAAGATCATCAAACCCTAACTCAAATTCAAGCTAGCGATTCAGGTATAGCTTCCACTCTTGTTGTTTAATCTCTGTGATTTAATCATGATTAAGTTCAACAGTAAATGCTACTGTATCATTTACTGTAACATGAATAGTGAATCTTGGATTCTCCCATTTGTATAGAGGAGTAGATTTAATTATTCACCAATTGCATACAGAGTAGTGTAATAAGAAAATGACAAATTTTCAAAAACAACCCGTTTAGAAACTTGATCTCCAAAAACGACCTATTTAGAAATTATTTACCAAATTCGATCCAGTTTTAGGCAGTTGGCTAAAACTGGGTGGAATTTGATGAAAAAAAACTACAAAACTTCACGGGACTTCAAGTCTCGTGAAGTTTAAAGTCCCGTGTAGTTTAAGCGCCAGATAATCAAGTCTAAGGGGGGTTAAACTTCACAAGTCCCGTGAAGTTTTGTAGACTTTTTCACCAAATTCGATCCAGTTTCAGCCAGGTAGTTAAAACTAGGTCGAATTTGGTAAATATTTTTTGAGAATAAGTTTCGGAATTGGGCTAAATTGAAAATTTCTCCCAAAAAAGCTTAAGGTAGACAGGGGGCGGTGAGACACCCCAAAAGTTTAGGGGTTGTTATACTCTGAAAATAAATGACTGCTGAACTGAAGTTCGTACGAGCCCAAGTCTACACACGCCTTTGGAACGAATCCGGAATATTTTCTTCAAAATAATCCCGAAAAAATAATTGTTGAATTGAGTCGGGACGAGCCCATCTGTACATGGGGCTTGGGTCTCTCGTAGCCCTAGCTTTCCCCGTACAAGACTCACATCGGAGCCCCCTTCAAATAACCGAACTGCCCCACCCCCACCCACACCACCAAGCGGCGCATTCTACCGGTCTTCTTCATTAAATCAGCGGTATTGTTTTAAAACTTTTTTTTCCCCGGATCGTAGAGATTCTGACTCCCGAGTATTGTTATTACCAGGGTTTAGGGTTTCTTGCGTGATCTCTAGATACCCTTTTTTTGATTTCTTGACGCGCATAATGCATTGGCTGGTCCCACTGTGATCAGACCCTAGGGTTTTTGCGGTTATTCTTTTATTTTGATTGGGGTTGTGATGATCTCTTGATAATATCTGATGCTAATGATAATGATGGAACTCCCTCGACTAAAGAAATTCTAGTCGCTATTGTTCTTGTTAGTTTTAAGAAATTTGAATATTTGTGAGCTTCTATTTTCTTTAAAAAAAAATTTGAATTTTCATCAATTATCAGTGTGGGTATAGGTTAATAATCTAAAAGGATACAGGTTATGGGACGGAGGTGGTTGAGGTCAGTTATTTGTTTTCTTTCTATTTGATTGAAATCTTTCTTCGTAATTTTACACGATATATGGAGGGTGAGACTAGAGGTCTCTGGATTTGTTTGTTGTAGTTTAGTGTTTATTGTTTTATTTGATTTGGGGTTTGAGAGAAAGTTAGAAGTTGGAGGGAAATCTCTACTTTCTTGGAAAGGAAATCTAGTAAGACATTGTGTTATTAATCTAAAAGATATCTTTATGGATAAGTTGGCTTAAGACAAAATTGAGATAGACACAAATAAAGGGAGATAAATATAAATGATAAAATGATAGATAAATAGTTAAACACATGTTAAGTTAAACACATGTTAGATAAATAGTTAAACATAAAATAGAAAAATAGAGAAGAGAAGTTTAGATAAGAACAAACTGTGAGAATGAGGAACACAATGTATTTCTCTCCAAGGAAGCAACAGATGCAAGAATAAGTAAAAGTAAAAGGTAAATTAAAAGAAAACTCCCATGAAAGAAACCTCTACAATCAGAAACTCTTCCTGCTTTGCTATCTTTTGAACAACCACCCTATGTGATTGAATCACAACCATTCCCTTCTTTTATTAATGATAAATTTCATTACCCTTTTGATGAAAATATTATCACCTCATTATTTTTACCATTTAGAGTTATGTTTAGAGTTTTTTTCATTAGACCTAAACTTTGTTTTTATTTCACTCCTCATCCTCATTCAAAATTCAGTTTTAAATATCCTCAATAAGGAATACAAAAAGAAGAAAATCTTCTTAAATATAATTGTGAGTAGACCCCCTGTAGTATGACCCAATTGTGAATAGACCCCTTTAGCTCTATTTGTGATGAATAGACGGTATTGGTCGAGGTCAGGCATAGATACTCCCTCTTAGTGAACTTTTTTGACTCTTTTAAAAGTAAAAAAAAAGTTAGCAATCGAGTGTATATCCTCATGAATAAAACTATAGGGGGTCTACACTGCCTCCTTAAACCTTTGGGACAATTTTAAGAGCCAAAAAAAATTTTACTCAGGGTGTCTAATCGCAGAAATAGAACTATAGGGGGCAAGGTTTTTAAATATCAGATATCGGGAAAATATCAGACCGCCAAAATTCATATCGGATTGCGGATATCGTGGAAATATGGTAAATATTGGAGTGTCATATCAGAACATGTGGGTAATATAATGTCCTAAAATATAGTCTAAACATACTTGACAAAATCTAAGCATAATAAAATATAAATAATATATGTTTTGGATCACTAATCAATAGTAGAAACTTATTAAGGGAAAAAAGTCTACTAGTATTTTGCTAAAAACTTCATAGGGCTATAGTTTTTGTGAAAAAACATTAAATAAATTTTTCATAACTATATTGTTGTGTGACAATTGACAAGCCATATAAAAGGAGATATCCGTTAACATATCGACTGCTATATCGGCTATATCTGGGATATATCGCTCAAAATTGCAAAAAAGCAGTGCAGGATGTTGAGATCATATCATCTTGTGGCAGGCCTTATAAAACAATATATTAGGCAATATATTGGATATATCAGAGATATTTAAAACAATGACAGGGGTCTGTTCGCAATTGGGTGATACAACACGGGGTCTGTTCGCAATTAACCCTTACAATAATGCAAAATTCTATGAGGCATTATGGTCCATAGAGATGTGTACATAACTATAGAAAACAAAGAACATTTTGGATTAAAATACATAGCACTTAAATACCTCATAGTTTGCCTGATTTTGTACTTCTATACCCTTAATTTTTCTTGCATTTTACCCTATTGTTTCCCTTCGTTTTTGTTAACAATAGTAGTTTTGGTTGAATAGACAAAAATACACCAACTTCAATATCTTTCCCCTTTTACTTTTTATCCCCTCCTACCCCAAAAACTAACCTAGTCCTAGATTTTGTATTTAGTCCTTTGCTGGCCATAACACTCCAACAACCACTCTTCACACTGGAAAATTGACAACCCCCTCTTATTTGGCTTTATTTGTCCCAGACCTGGTTAACCCTCTATTAGAACATAAACTTTTTGTTGTCCTATGGGTTAAGTTGATGGATTTCTATTGATTGGAGTTCATTATTTTGAGTAATTTTGAATGTAAGTCTGTTAGTTTTCAGCAGATTTTAGAATATATTGAAATTGTGTAAGTGAACGACAGATTGAGGTATTTTTTAATGTTTTGTTGACTCAATCTCTTCAACAGCCCCAAAGCTTGATGAGCTAGAATAATACCCGGAGGCGGACTTCATGGTGTTTGAATACCCCCATATATATGGTGAGAAATTGGGGAAAAGTGGAGAAGAAATCTAAATTGTTTCTAGGCAAAATGAATGTAAAAGAAAATTAAAATATAGTCAGGATAGGTTTATGTGTGGTTTCAGGCTTCATTAAACTAAAGGGGTAAACATGTCCTATATTTGATGTTTGATACTCGCATGGAAATCTTTTGGGGAATATTTTAACAGCCTCCTAAGAGAGAGTACTAACGTGTCATTTTAAAAAACTTTGAAGGTATATCAATACAGAAAACAAAACTGGGGGTATATAAGTGCAAAGTTAGGTAAATTTTGGGGTATTTAAGTTCTTTTAATTCTAAAAAATAGTTAGGAATTCTTCTTAATATTAGAGGTATGTTCGTTATTTTAGAGATATTTGTGAACAATGATAGAAGGAGGCGTTTTGTTCAACTAATAAATACAAGTTTCTTTTTTCTTATTCTTGTGGTTATTTAGGAGGATTTCTGAAATTTTATTTAAACTAGATGTAAATATTTTAAATGATAAAAATAAGGAGGATGAGTTTGTTTCTGTTAAAAGGGCAACTAAATGCATCATGAACTAAAGGTGGGAGCAAATGTTATCCAATCATTGGTCAATATTTCTTTTGCAAATTTTATTTAAACTAGACTGTATTCATGCAGCTTCTACGTGTTTTAATTTGAAATATAAATAGCTTTACCATTGGTCAATATTTCTTTTGTGTTATCTAATTTTCTGTTGTCAATGGACCTTTTCAGGGTTCCCTTTTGGTGTAGGCATTGTTTTCTTATATATACTTTTTAATGCTCTTGTATCCTTTATGTAATTTTTTTTCTAGCTATATTTGTCGCATTAATAAATCATCTTTTGATTTCCTTCCTCAAGAATAAGTGTGGCTGAATTATACTGATTATAAATTTCCTGCAGAGATGGGGTTGCCAACTGAACATCCTGTTCCCCCTCCTGTTCCCCCTGTTAGCCCGAAAGTGGTATGTTTTGATTCATTTTATCCGGTATTATCTCAACTTATGTGGTTCTTTATTATTACCATTATTTATTTTGTTGCCGTGGATCTCATGATTTTAAAGAAACAATTTTACAGGTTGCAAATGCCTTTCTTGAACAATACTATGGAGTTCTTCATGGATCACCAGAATTATTCCACCAATTTTATCAAGATTCGAGCATTGTAATGCGGCCAGATTCTAATGGAGTGATGAGATCAGTGACTACAACACAAGTAAAATTTTGTGCAACATTACTCTAATGCAATATTATATTTCAAAGGCTTCAATTGCAGTCAAATTAATGACATTTGAAAAATTTTGACTATCAGTCAGCTTCTCATTCTTTTGTCAGTTCCAAGCAGTTTATTTGCACTTAAATGCCCCAAAGTCTACACCATTTTACTTCGATAGCCCAAAGCTTGTTTGCCCAAAACATACTTCAAAGTTCAAAAACATTTAACTTTGATATTCTAAATTGACTTAACAAGGACACTAAAGTTAGTTTCAGTGCCGGCCCTGAGCTAGGGCCACCAGGGCTACAGCCCGGGGCCCAAAGCTGAGGGGGGCACAGCTGAGAGGGACTAGGATCATCAAGGACGAAGCTATGTACAGCTCTGGGGATGCCTTGGCCCCCTCAAAGTTTTTGATTTTGATATTAAGTTCTTGTAGCTAGCAACTTCCCATAGACAAGCGCATGGATCAGATCGGATGGGCCTTACTTGCAAAAGGATCTACGTATCATTTTTGCCTAGATTGTCTTATCATGGATTTTTACCAAAAAATTTAACTATTTTATTTTCATTCAATTTTCATTCAATGTTACAGAAGGTTATTTCATGCAATGTTACAAAAGTAATATGGAAATTCATGCTAATTATAAAATTGAATGAGCATACTGGAAATGAAATTCCAGGTCTATTGCAGACATTTGGTTAATGTTATTCAGACTTAAAGTTTAGGTTATTTTCTGTTTCAGACACTTGATGACAAATTTTTTACTCATATATATAATATATATATGCGACTCTGTACATGTATCCATTTACACTTATGACATATAGAATTACCTATGTATCTTATTTTTGTAAAGTTCACATCAAATTCAATGTTACAAAAATAATATGGAAATTCATGCTAATGTTATTTTGAAAGTGCATACTGGAAATGGTTAATTATGTATTTCTCAAGTATATACAAAAGACACTTGATTTCAATTGAATTTAATTATGTATTTCTCAAGTATATACAAAAGAAGGAAATTTGATGCACAAGTCTGAAATGTTATTTTGAAAGTGCATACTTCTAAATACTTAACGCAAATAATACTTCTAAATACTCTCTAGAGAATCAAAATTTATTATATTTGCTAGCCTATTCCGATGATATTCTCTATAGATTATGGTGATCAGGAAGGTAAAATTTAAAGATTTTGCACCTTTCAGTTCACTAGCCATGTTGTTTCATCGATTATATGCCTATGACACTTTTATTATTTGCTTAAAATAATTTCTGTCCATAAAATGCAATGCTTGCTGCATTTGTGCTTTTGTTTCTTTAGATTAATTCCATGTGATTTCAGATGCTCATATTAGATGTTCATTTCGATTTGGGGTTTTGTCCCATTAGGTTTTCCCCAACCAAGGTTTTAATGAGGCCCCAAAGTGTTTTTCCTTGTCATTTGTAAAATCTTATAATTTTAATAAAATTAATTAATTGATAATTTATTTATTTGTTTGTTTAATTTGTATAAAGGGGCACACTTGAGAAAATTTGCCCTGGGCCTTAGAAAACCCAGGACCGGCTCTGGTTAGTTTTATGAACTTTATTTTTTGGGGAAATATCTTCAGGGTGTCGAAGTTAGAAATGATGTTTTTAGGGCATTTAAGTGCAAATAACAATCCGCAATAGGAAATACTTTGGTGTATACATAATGAGACTTTAATTGTGAAATAGTATTCATTTATTGTTTTTGTCTATTTATTTTTTGAACAATGATTATGTTTGGGTGTTGTAATTGGACCTTTTCTATGGTGTTAAAGCTTTTTTATTGCAGAACTTAGATATATACTTCACTGGAGCTCTGAGTTCACTTGTCTGTGTTTATTTTTATGTTTTTATTGCATGAGTATTAATTTGCTGATATTAACCTAACATCATTTCTTATAATTGTTGTGTGAGCTTTATGGGCAAGAGATTGCAATGAGGGAGTGATCAGTTGAGGGCGTAGATTCTATAGATGTTTTAGTTTGTTGGATTAGGGCAGTTTGTCACAAAAGCCGGGACGTTGGAATAGTTTCTGGACAACTCTAGCTGTTGAATTAGAAAACTCAGTGTCTGTAAACTGAACTAATTTTTTCCAAAGAAAGTAGCAATCACTAATTCATAAATTTCAGTCATTACGAGGCTCAATCAAGAGTCAGAATTACTGATTAAGGAGCTATGAGATATCCCTAATTGCGTCACTGGTTCACAAAGTCATGGGATGGGGGAGAAAATTTGGCTCATTGACATTCTGAAATTTATTCAATCCTGATTTGGCGTCTAAACTGTATAATAACTAAATTAAATTCTTTTACTGAGCGAAGTGACTAATTATCGGATGTGTATGAGCTTTCACGGCTTCTGTGCCCTACATGCTTATTATCAATATCCTTTGGAGTTTTACTGTTTTTCTTAAAATTAGAACTTTATTTTGATAAAAGACTAGTAATTGTTGAGAAATAAAAGAAGACTTATGTGCCAGTTTCATCTCACTTCTTTGTTTCTCTCTAGTTCCTTGGACTTACAACACTACGATGGTGTGATGTCAATTTTATTGTTTCTATCCTTTGGAGTTTTACTGTTTTTCTTAAAATTAGAACTTTTTTTTGATAAAAGACTATTAACTGTTGAAAAATTAAAGAAGACTTATGTGCCAGTTTCATCTCACTTCTCTGTTTCTTTCTAGTTCCTTTGACTTACAACACTACGATGGTGTGATGTCAATTTTATTGTTTCTATAAATTTTAGAATTATTGCATAATATACAATGTACTTAAATTACCAGTATTCACTCATAGGTGCTATCAGTACTATACCGATTACCAGTTGTTGGATGGAGGTTTGCCTCAGTCGACCAATGATTTGTCGCAGGATGTAGCCAGTCTTAGGGAATCCTTAAGGAGACACAGCCTTCATCCCTGTAAATCCAGCATCATATGCATATATTCTCCTATGCTAGTACTTCTATTGGACTAGATGTTCTCATTTGTTCTTTACAATTGTGAGTTGCATCAGTAAATAGAACTTAGTACTCTGGTATTACTGCATTGTAAAAAAATGTAAACCTTGTGATGAATGATATGATGTTTTAATCTCTTTTTTCTTTCTGGAGCAGGCCATCAACGACTTGATATTGTCGTTGGACAACAAGAACTGTATAACAGAGATCTTATCTGCAGATTCTCAACAATCTTACAAGGATGGAGTTTTCATTCAAGTGATAGGATTTCTGATTGGACTGGATAGAATAAGAAGGAAATTTTCCCAGTCATTCTTTCTCTCTCCACAGGGTCATGGGGTTTACTTTGTCCTGAATGATATTTTTAGATTTGTGGATGATAATCAACAAAGAAAAACCAGTCAAATGCTAGCTAACGGAGATGGTGATGCACAAATTGCTCCTTTAATCATTGAACAAGGTAAAATATAATGTTTTCTATTTTATATCCCTTTTCAACTAAAATTATAAAACCCTTTTGTGACTGGCATATACATTTCTTGCTGCATGTTGTTTCAGTTCAAGATCTTCATGCAGGTGACCCTTCAACTTTGCTTTCTGAGGAGCTTTATGAAAATGGAGGTCCAAATGACATTGCGGAAAATGGAAGTCCAAAAGCAGAGGTTAAGTTCGCAGAAAATGTAGACACAGAAGAGGTTCCTGAGGTATTGCCACCTACAGCGCAAGAGGATTCACCAAAGTCTTATGCATCAATTGTGAGTGTTCCCTCCATAGAAGTTTTTATTTGCCGTTGAATTATTATCATTATTATGATATGTTCTTGAGATGTCCTTTTATGATTTTTTTGATGTGATGATTAAGTGATAATTTTTCTTCACTCGTTGTACTTGGCCTCCTGATGGTCTTGAAGTTCCAACGATGCCTTTATAAGATGAATGAATCTGCGGATTTTCCTTTGAATATGTGTTTATGATGTCTGTTATTTTAGCATGCTAAATTAAAGCTATTACCTGTTTTTTACTTCAATTTTCCTTTCTGCATATTTTCATTTCTATCAATATAGCTTGTGAAGGGCAATGCATCACCAATAGCTGTTCATGTGCCAACTACGAAGGTGAAGCCAGTCTTCCCAAAACCTGAGAAAGTGCCTCTTCCTTCAACAACACCTGCTCGTGCTTCTGAAGTCACGACTAGTGGTAGCAATAGTACGTCAGAGACGAATGATTCCCATAAAGGTGCCCTCTAACACCCGAAACGATCACCATTTTTATTTACTGGTTGCATGTTCTAACTCTGATCTTTCTCATCACTTCCTGTAGGAGGTCACTCCATCTTCGTTCGTAATTTACCTCTGGATGCTACCGTTGCTCAATTGGAGGAGGTATTCAAGAAGTTTGGACCAATTAAACCGCAAGGCGTACAAGTCAGAAGCCACAAGGTTAGAACATATTTATTCTTCAATCTGCATTCAGATTTATTTGGAGAAGAAAGCAGGAAAGTGTGCATTTAGTCTGTATGTAATGTCGCTTGTTTTTGCAGCTGGAACATAATTGTTTTGGCTTTGTTGAATTTGAGTCATTGGACTCCAAGCAAGCTGCAATGGAGGTATGGCTAGCTGCTAATATCTAATTCTTAGAAGTGCTTACAAAAGTGTGGATTCAACTTCTCATTTTTAAACAATTGTTTTAGGTTATCCCACACGTACAAGTTAGTTTTTTATGGACTTTAGCGCACATATTCTACTGTCCGCTATCACTCTTTTTTTCTGTTTTTTTCCAATTATTGCTTCTTCTTCCATGTCCTTATAAAACTGCATCCTGTTTCACTGAGGGTTTTTTTTCCTTCTTATTTTTCTTTTCTTTAATTTTCTGATTTTATCCTGTCAGTGTTCTCTATGCTGTTACCTAATCGAGTTTTCTTTTTAGGCGTCACCGATAATGATTGGAGGTCGTCAAGCCTTCATCGCAGAGAAGAAAACAACCGCAAGAGGTCGGTTTTTTATTAGATAGTTCTCGCAACTGTGAGATTAAAAAAATTTGTCTCACTACTTTATGCACATAACAGATTTATTCAACTGTGCGAGTAGTGTTTCAAAAGTTCATGGATTGACATTCAAAATTGAAAATTCTAATGATAGTAATATTTCTTTTGTGTGTGCACTTTTTTTTCAGTTAGTGGTGGTAGTAGTCGGTTTTCTATGAGCAGAGGTGGCAATAACGGCGGTGGTGTTTTCCAGAATGACAATTTTAGAGTTGGTCGGGGAGGTTTTGGTGGAAACCAAGGAGGGTTTGCAAGGAACGAGTTCAGGAACACTCGGGGTGGTGGTGAGTACTCAGGCCGAGGTAGGGCTGCACCACGTGGCCGTGTTAATGGAGCATATAGACCTCGGATCGTTCAAAACGTTTCCCGTCCAAACATGACGAATCAAACAGCAATAGTTGCCTGATTCTTGCATAAACGATTAGAGAAAACTCCTCTACTTTTCTCCCATTTTTTGTTATAATTTCCCACCATATTTTTTACGACTTTTGTGACGCGACACATTGTTTTGTTTTTTTGGATTATCTCAGCATTGTAAACGGAAATTTTATTCGATTTGCTTCATAATGCAACAAATTATTCGATTTTTAGACTTTATATTGAATTAATATTTTTCAGCTCAATGTTGTCCAATACTTGAAAATGCTAGGATCTCTGTGCCTTGCGGTGTCATGAAGTTGAAATGGTTGTTCTTCTGTTGACCCATAAAGAGTGATCTGCAATTCTGTTTTCAGATTCTTCTCAAATATTCTTCGATGGATTTTGTCGTCACTGATTCATTCATTTGCTTTGCTTCGTAGTGCATCGTACTACTGCTCGTGGTTTCTTTAGTTTGTTGTCACCGATCCCTTCGATTATCGGATATCTGTTCTTTTTTCAGTGTCACAAAGCGTGAAATCGTCGGCCTTCTGTTTATCGCCTAATGTGTAGGAACTCTACAAAATTTATTTTTGCAATGTCTTTTTATTTTGCTCGTAAAGATTCAAGTTGTTCTGTTTTGAACAAACAATGTGTATCTTTTACCCACCGCGGACGACATGGACGGTTACGAGGTTTCAATATCGCTCCCACAGTTTTGGATTCTATTTCGGGTTAGGTTTTTTTTTTTAAAGTTAGCATTAGTTTGTGTTCAGGCTGGAAGATTGTTAACCGAATGAAAAAGCTAATTCATGATGCTCTAGGGAATATGCTCCCTTAGGCGATTAAAGGGACAATTTACAGGGACAAGTATTGTTGATACCAGGAAGCTCTACTTGCATTATGATTAGTGAGAATCTGTTAGTCTTATATTTTGTGTTTGTACATAATCACTTCTCAATATCCTAAGAATATACATCTGGTTAAATTATATTCATTTACGTACCGAATATTTAAAAAAAAATTATTTAGTGCTAAATGTACTGTATAAAATATAATCGAATGACCAGACGAACAATTTAACAACTATTTGTTAATTATTTGGTTTGTTCCCCTAGTATTGAATTTACTTGATATGGTACATTTATTTTAGGTTTTCTGCCCATAAAAAAATCAACTACATGGATACATCCTCATTTGTTACAATAAAAATAAATGATAATAAATAAAATATATATCCTCATTTAATTTTCGGAAAAACACGATGGAAACGGACGCATGGGGTTCGACGCGGTGATAGGTCAAACAAAAGCCCAATTTAGAATGGCTCCCGGCCCAAGCCCACAAGTGGCAGTGTTGAAATTAAGGCCGTTCTTTCCGATCTTTCGCTTTTATTTCGCCCGCAGAGAAAACCAAAACCCTATTAGACGATCAAACCCTAGCCTCCTAAAACCCTAGAAAATCTATCGAGAGGCGATGGCGAAATCGAAACCAGCTGCGGCCGTGGACGCCGTCAAGGAGTTCTGGAACTCTCAGGTCAACGACGACGACAAGTGGGCCGTCAACTCGGTAAAGATCTCCCCCTTTTTTTTATTACAGTAGACATGGCTTGATTCTTCCAACGGTTCAGTATTTGGTTAGGGTTAGATTTGATGATTATTTAGAAAACTATGTAGATTTCTTGTCCGTAGAAAAAGTTTTTGAAAAAAAAAGGTTTTATTTTTTGACATTAAAAAAAAAAGTGAAGAAGAAAGAAAGAGTTACGGTAGGTTAGATTATTCTTCTGTTCCACTGTTGTTATCGCCACTATAGTTGCACAGCTATTAACACAATATCAAATGTTGCACGTATTATTTTGCTGGTACTTTTGGCTATAAATTACACTTAAATACCTTGTTGATTATCAAATGTTGCACGTATTGTCTCGCTTTTCTAACAGTCAACTAATGGAGGGCACCAACGTGAAACATTTAGAAACTTTAAGGTAGTTGAGTGTAGGGTCTTAATTGTGAGAGTATTTATGTGCGACATTGGGTATATAATAGGGTATTTAAGTGTAATTTATCCTATATTTTATATCACTATTCTAGTATCTATACCTAGTACCATGGTGGTTAATGGTTTTAACCTGTAGAAGTTGACTGAGTTATATCTATGTCTTAGTAATGCTTTGTAGGAAAATTGGTTTACTGGAGGATCCATGCTTTGACTACTACAATGAGTAGGGGTGCTAAACCGTATCCGTATCCGAGGAAATATCTGTAACCGTGTCCGTTAGGATACGGATATGGTTACTCAAATCTATAACCAATAGGATATGGTTACGGATATGGTTTTATAGTGAAATATCTATATCCGTATCCGAAATATCTGAATACATATTAGTCATACTCTTACGATAGTTTCGATTCTTAGATTATGTATTAGTCATACTCTTACGATAGTTTCGATTCTTAGATTATGGATTTGTTGTTAATTTTGATGATCAAGATGTCTAATCTTAACTTTTCAATTATAATATTCTTAGATTATGGATTTGTTGTTAATTTTGATGATCAAGATGTCTAATCTTAACTTTTCAATTATAATAAACATATTAACGAACTCTTTTGTATCACATGGACTATGTTTTTCTCAATACTATCTAGTTTTCTCATATCCATTTTGTATCCGCATGCATGCCCGCTTATATATCCGCATGTATATCCGTAACCGTATCCGATTTTAGCGGATATGGTTATGAATTATCCTTACCGAGATACATCCGTATCCGAGATGGGTAAACAGATATGGATATGGTAAGCATCATATACGAGCCGTATCTGGACCGAATGCACCCCTAACAATGAGCCAGACGCTGTTTGTTTGGTTTCTTGGAAAGCAAAGGAAAGGACATGGGGGGAGGTAATTATCAGACATAGTTTCTTCCCATTTCCTCATAAAAAATTGATGAGGGGGTTTTTCTAGAATTGAGGTCAACTTGACACATCAACCTATATGTTGCTTTCAAGAAATGAACCAAACAAAGAAAAATAAATGTTAAAATAAAACCCTCAAAAGCCATAAAGGATCTTTGGATTTGAACTACAAAGGAATTTTTAGCCTATGCCTACCAGCCTATGTTACCCGGGTACTTCTATAATTAAGATGTACCCGTACCGAACACGTATCCGACACTTTCTCGTACCCAAACTTCATGGACACTTCTTGAATATATGCATGCATTTATTACAACATGTACTCAATTATACGATATATGTGTTAATTTAAAACACTTGTCAAAGACTTCCTGGACGTAGAGCTTACACTTCACATCCGTTTTTTGAAACTAATGAGATACGGATCGGATTTGTTTCAGTCCATACCCAAGTTTAAAACTATATAGTTAATGGCCGTTTAGATGTCTAGTAAAAAAATGAGTAGTTTATAATTCACGATAATCAATATGATAAAAGAAACTCAAAAATGTGATCGGAATTTTAATTCTAATGACACATGAAGGGGGGAAAATTATCTTATGTACAGTATTGATTCAATATATATATGTAGTCGTGTCCCCGTACCCTACATTTTACAATTTTGTCGTGTCCCGCACCCGTACCAGTACCCATGCCCGTTTCCATGCAACTTAGCTACCAGCACTTGCTATTAATCAGCTTAGAACATGGAAAACAATGTTGAAAATGAAGAAGAGTGGAAATTGATCTATGAGAATTTGTGAATTAAACATGGGGAAAATCAACATTAGAAAGTTTTTTTTGTGTTATTGCATAGAGTCGTGCGTTTATGATATTAGATAGATTGTCAGAAAACTCTGTTTTTTGAGGATGGAGAGATAATATGAGTAAGGTTGGAGGGTGGTTAGATTACAACAAGGCAGAAAAACATTAGAAAGCTGTAAATTTTCACAAACCAAAAAGTATATTCCTGAACACTTCAATCACTCAATTTTTTCATTAATTACAATATAATAAGGTGAAGGAAGAAATGGTAAACTGTATCTAAGTATTATAAACTAATCGGAGTCAAAATCAAAGCTTAGTACAAGAGAAAGCAATTCCAAGTTGATCTAGGACGTGAAAGTTTTCATAAAGACTCATATTACAATTACTTACTTTTGAGTATTTAGGTGCAAATTAATATTTTTTACAGGTGTCTGTTACAGTTGTTCATTGTAGTAAAAAGTCATTGAAGTAGATAAATCAAAAAAAAAAATGGGTTAATTGTGGATACACCCCTGTCCTCTAGTGGTGTAGCGTCTTATCCCGTAACTTTATATTAGTTGTTACACCCCTTACTCGGATGATGTTATTTTTTTGTCCGAACTCTGGTGCAGTTTAGTCCTTTTCCAATTAAACTAAGGGCAAAAAGTAATTATTCATCACATGATTCCCACATAAAATATCAAACTAGCTTGGAATATAATACTGTCGGTAGTTGATGGAGTTTAAGTGCTGATGAAATATTTCAGGGAGTACAAGTTACTAACTTGCTATAACTCATAGTATAAGGGGTGTGTATGGAATTAACTCTACTTATTAATGCAGCCATCTGGATTTTAACCAGGTCAAGTTGACTCTTACTGGACATTGGCATATGACTGATATGAGTTTCAAATATCTACTTATATGACTTTTAGTCTGTCGAGTTTACAATTATCTTTGAAGGTCTATTTTTAATTATTATGATGCAATTATTAAAAATCCCAATGAAATCATTACATAAATAAATTGCATTTCGGGTGCGCTCGTATTTACACTGGGGTGTGCACAATAATACTGCCTTACTGGGCACTGACATATGGGTTCAGACTGTGGGACCCTGGATTCTTGCCAGCAATCCCCATAATTTAGTGCAACTAGCGTTCATATGTCTTTGGTGCTCCCTCGTTTGGATTATGTACCCCCTGCTGTTAGGTGACACCCAGAGAAGCACTAACTGGGTGTACTGGCTCAATGGGCAGAGATGTGTACACTTGAATGAAATAAGAACCCTCTTTTGCATGTCGAGTCTAATCGCATGTCGAGTCTAATCATGCAAGCCCTTCCAGTCTGTAGCTTCTATATCATAAACTAGAAGTAGGATTGTTTCTGAGCAACCTTCAATTTCTCACACTCTGCAATGTTAAACAAGCATGAGAAAATAGTTTTCTCTTGAAATCTTTATTAGCTAATTTGCAATGGACAAAGTGATCTGAAGTTGAAAGCTCAAATTAAAGTGCTGTGTTGAAAAAAGTAGCCTCTGCTTGATTATTAAATGAAGAAGTTTTCTTATTAACAATTTGAAGAAACAAGCAGTATAAGCAGGTCAGTAACTGATTGACATTTTATGTCTTATTATACTTACTATTTAAAGCATAGTCTTGTTTTTTATATCTACAATTCCAACATGCATATTTTACAATACCTCGTATTTATATTCTTAAGACGTACATTTGAAATCTCGACATTAAAAATAAGAAAAACACATGCACAAGAAAAGAAAGTAGAAAAACAGCAACCATAAGGAAGTACCAAAAAGGAGCTGAGGCTTTGGTAGAGGTTGAAACCCTTTGCTTTATTTGTGATCATTTTCTGACTTATTTTGTGTGTGAAAACGTTTTCTGTGTCTGTTTTGCTTGTAAATTGTTATGCATATTTCTTGAATTTTCATAGACATTTTAATCTTCGGAAATAAACTAAGAAAGGGTTAATAACGACTTTTGGATTTTTCAGATAATGGATGGACTACTATTTAATGTGAAATTCAAACTCCAATGTCAATAGGCTGTTATAGTAACTACTTTTTGGTGTTGCGTATCAATATTTTGAAGAGAACTTCATCTTTTTTTCTTTTTTTTTTTTTGAGAATATCTACTTCCGTGATGTTTGAGAATATGTAATATCCACCATTTATTATATAAATATCATTTAGCACTTAATACACAGACTATTATATCAATAAAACTTCAATATTGTGATATTTGACGGGCTAAGCACCACTTAGAGTGGGTTTAATGTTAGAAGAGGCAATCGCTGGCAGTATTTGCATGAATCTGCAAGATCAGAGATCGGACATTTCTTTGGTGCCTTTTCATTCTTGCCTTGCATTATGTAATTATTTTTATGTGAGAATGAAATTATATTTTCTTTTGCTCATTCTTGGTCTAGCAGTCATATAGTACGCTACTCATGATCCTTTATTTGTACAGAAGTTGTTACGTGCATTTGGACTCTTTGCTGGCTCCATATTTTTTATGCGCAACTTTGGGGAGCTAATGGCTATATGAAGATAGATGTTATTACAATAACCTAACAGATTATGGAAGGTGGTTCTATATCTCAGTCATCTTTTCAAACATGTTGTGGGGCATTGTTTCAACTCATGTATCAAATATTTCGTACCTATTTCAGATTTCTTTTGTTCAAACTTCATTACACTTAACAATAGTGTCCGATGTGCATGTTTTGTTGCACGCGTTGTTATCTTTATCATCTTCAAGATATGAATTCACAATGTTGTTGGTGGTTGCTCTATACGATATCATTCGGACATAGAATATTGACAGCATTGCTTGTGCCCTTTTTACGTAAATTTATGGCGAAATCCTCTCTTGCTGAATAACACCCGTAAATATTCATCGGATATGGATGCTTAATACCCGCACCTTTACTTTCATTTCAAATAATCCGCATATTTCCCTATTATCATATTTGCTGTGGGCCTGTCGCTCATGGCTGCAAGTGTGCTTTATGACATAGCAATTATTTCGATTGTGTAGTAGCACCGTTGTTTACGAATGCTTCTGGTTTAAGTTTGTCATCAGCTGCAACTTTCCTTAATTACACCAGTAGGTCTTTTCTTGTACACAACAACTTTTTCGGTTGGTTTTGGGATTTAATGCCTAGAGATGGAGTGTAACACTTTTGTTTCTGCGTTAATGCAAGTTAATGTCGAGATTGGCAAAATCCAAAGTTCTTTGGTATTTCCCCTCCTTACTCTTCAGTATCAACATGTATAAAATCTTCTTGAACTTTGCTATTTGGCTCGCGGTTCACCCGCGAGCCAAATCGCTTTTTCGTATGTCTTTATTAGAAGCATTACTTTGGGACTTGGAATTTTAATGTTACAACTTTTATTTTGAGAATCTTCTTCAGTTTAGGTGGAGATTGAGGAGGGTTTGGTTACCCCAAATCCGTACCGATTCATATTTTAAGGGATTAGCACGAGTCCATGTAGCGCTGTTGTCGCTAAAACCACTTTTGTAACTTTGTAAAATCCTACGAGATTCATATTTTAAGGGATAGCACGAGTCCATGTAGCGCTGTTGTCACTAAAACCACTTTTGTAACTTTGTAAAATCCTACGAGACGTGAATAGATGGGGGACGATTGGGATAATTGGATCCTCTCTAATTATCACTTAACTGCGGAGGATCCGGATCTGATCCGGATCTGCGCAATATACAGTTCCATAAGTGCTGTAGACCACCGAAGTTGAAATGTTTTACTCTTTTACCTTTGGTACTATATTATGGCACATGTTAGTATCTTTATGAATGTAAAAGAGACGAAGGAATAGTGTTCTTTTCTCTTCCCTCTGGCAACGTAAAAGCTAGCAAAAGCTTGTCGTGCTATCCTCCTCCGAGCTTGCAACGTGTGTAAATTTTCTGTTTCATATCTTTCCTCGATCAATTGCTGTCCCCGCTCTCGTCCGACGAGCTGGGTGGTGTGGCCCCTCGCATCCTTGTTGATTGAGTTCCTGGGTTTCCAACAAGAAAACGCATATATGACTGGCACCAGTTCTAGAAATGCAAGTTTCGCTAGTGGAAATCTCAGCACAATATGGCTGACTCGGTTCCTATTGTGCCCCCTCTCATTTATATGAATACAAAAGACTGTGTCTAATGAGACCAACTCAACACAAATAATCTCATTCGATCATTAAACTAGCGATGAAGGTTTGAAACTTAATTATTCTAAATGGAATTCATTTAAGGGAGGGTTGGGCATGGGCCGGGTCGACCCGTAGGCTGACCCGGACCAGCCCGTCATGGGTCACAACCCGGCTCGGCCCGTAGTTGGCCGGGCCTCCGTGATGTACTCGGATCACGGGTTGGGCCGGGTCTAGCTCCAGACCTGGGTCAGAGAAGTAGGCCCGGTCCACGCTGATCCGGCCCACGTCCGACTCGACCAGCCCTGACCAATAATATATTTTTTGTTAGTCGAGCTGTTCATTTGGCCATTTGGGTCCACAATTAGCTGCCAACAAATCCAAAAAAGGTTATAGGTATTTGACTCGTGGTCCTTTTGGCCCATTGAGAAACATAGTAGTCATCTTTAAGTTTGTTGTTGTCCACCTAAAAAGATTAAAACGCTTAATACAAATTTAAAAATAGTTTAATCCAAGTTTAAATTACTAAAAAATAAACTAGAAATAACTTCATACTTATAAGTACAGGTTTTATGTAATTAAAAAGGTAAAAACATGAGAAAAAATTGGACGAAAAACTCATGGGTCAACCCACGAACCACGAGCCGTGGGTTGGGTTGGGTCTAGTCTCAAACTCGAGATCAGAGAAGTAGGTTCTGTTAGACCCTAGAGGGGGGTGATTAGGGTCTTATGCTAATCTAATCCGATTTTATGCTAATAAAAACTAATACAAGTATATTCTTGCAAGATAGAGATACAAGAGATATAAGCAAGAATAAGCAATATGAACAAAGGTAAATATCCTACCAATGAGATATACTATGGGATATATGCAATGATATATAACCACAAGGGTAAACAATCTAAACTAGATAGAGGGCAATATAATCAACAAGCAATATACAGAGGCGATATAAGATATGAACATAAAAGTAAGTGCGTCAATGCAATCATAAACAAACGATATGATTACAGAGTTCGGTCCCCACGACCTACGTCTTCTCTCCTCACCTCGAGGAGATCTCCACTATCACAACCGGGTTTTCTACGTTCACCCGAATAACGTTTACACCACACAATACGGTTTTCTAGTTTACCGAAAACTCTACAACTTACACACTCTTGCAATCTCACTCTACACCCTCTCAAGTGTTGAACTAGACGTGTCTCCCTCAAGTGCTCGGTTATAACCTCTCCTTAGGTTCGTCAACCGATGCCACTCCTCTTGGGACGATCCCCGACTCTCGCCACACACTTCTCTCGGTGTACAAGTGTATTACAAAGTGATTCTCACAATAAGCACAATTACAAGAATGATTGTCCTCTAATATGGATGAGAACACAATAAAAGCTCACACTCAATTGTTACAACTCTCACCAACCCAAATATACTATGTATGAAAATACAATAAGCTCAAGTGGGTGTGTGTAAACAATGAGTGGAATAAAATCAACTAAACTCAATATAAAACTAGCTTTAATAAAATGATAATCAAATAAATAGATGTAAAGCTAAAATAGAGTTTAGAAAACTTCTCAATAGATCAAGAGTTAGAGGGAGAATAGTTGGATGCCCAAAACACAAATAGATGATCTCCTCAAGCTCTTATGAAATTGATTTTATAAACTCAAACTTCCAAATGCTTAAAAGCTTCTTAAACCAAACTTAAACCCTTGTTTAAAACTCTTTAAACTTGTTTTAAAAACACTCTCTTGTTATAGAAGAGCTGAAGGCAATGGGGTATTTATACTCACTCAAAACTTCAGCAAAAACCCAAAACAAAATGACCAAAAAGCCCACAGAATCTAAAATCAGATTCTGTACAAAATAGCCGTTGGAGTATACGGCGATCGAGCGTGAAAATCTCGCGGTCGACCGCGAGCCACTTTCGAAGCTGAGAACTTTCTAGAGATTTTAGCGGTCGACCGTGGCGATCGACCGTGGGAAAATTCGAGCTGACGGTCAACCATGGCGGTCGACCGCGAAAGTTTGGTCGACCGCGAAAGTTTATGTTGGCTCCGCAGGCTAAAAACAAAGGCGCGGTCGACCGTGAACTGATATATGAAATTGACAAGTTCGAAAACAGTTTGCTGATTTTAAAACACTGTTTAAAAATATCAAATAAATTTAAAAAAATGTAAAACTTTAGGGAATGATTGTAGACATGATAATAAACATGCTATAAAGACTGGTTTCCAAAAAGGACTTCCCAAATAAAAAATATCATCATTTTACAAAATAATCCAAAATATAAAAATGTAAACATGTGAATTTTCACATTTTGGCTAAACCATGTTTTGAAACTTTACAAAATGATTTTATAGACTTGAAGAAAGATGTAAACTATTGTTATGAAGTCTATAAATAATGAATGTAGTATTTTATCAAAATACACATATAATGCACTAAAAAATAATTTCATTGAACTAAATAAAATTGATATTGATGAAATCATATATATGCATATAAGTATTTAAATAAAATATGTTTTCTAATTATATTTAATTGTTTCATAGTAAAACTTGAAAACTATCAAACCAAAACATATATGTATATATATATATATATAACTATATATATACATGGAAACCAATAAATGTGTGTGTGTGTATTATATTGAGCTTAAGGTATTAACACACATAATATAAACTCCTAAACTAAATTACCCAAGCTTGATTGATCTTCGATGAGCTTGACTTGGTACACTTGCGGAAGAAGCTTGAACTTGTATCTTTAACTTGAATGTACATTGCTTCACTCCAATATTCCGCCAACCTCTATTGGATATGATCGTTGAAGGTCTATTCCATCCATCCTCCAACTCGTTGTTTGCCTAGAATAAATACGAAAACACAAACACTAGACAAACAACATTAGAAGTAAATTATTTGTTAAACATCATCAAAACAAGAAGGCCAACAGGTTCGGCCAACTCTGATCCGGCTGGGCCCGGATCTGACCCGACCCGATCTTGAACACGACTGGTCGGGTCACGGTTCTGAACCGGCCATGTCTACGCCTACCCCCTAATTTAAGGTGGGATGTTTTTTAGGGCATGTTTGGCTATTTCCAAAAAAAAAATCAGAAATGGAAATGTCACTCTTGCAAACATTTCAAGACATTTCCAATGTTTCTTTTTTTTCTTTTTTTTCGCAAAGAAAACCCCCCTTTTCACTGTCAACTCACACAAACAAACAAAAAAAGCCTTCATAGTAACAGTGACTAGAGTTCTATTTCTTGTGTTTGTTTGAGAACAAGAAAAAGAAAATGAGAAACCTCTTATTTAAATAATACGGTTTATTCTTTTGAACTATTCAAACAGTTTTTTAACTAATTAAAAATTCTCAGATGGGACATTTCCAAGTGTTTTCAGCACATTTTGTTGTGAAAACACATTTCTTGAAATCTTGAAGTGACACCCTACGTGACAGTCCATTTCTCAAAATTTAAAAATGAAACAAACATGTGAAATGAAAATGTCTTGAAAACAAAAACTCATGTAGAACATGGGGGTTTTCTTGAAAGGTGAGGTGGCAACACATTTACTTTTTTTTTTTTTTTTTAAAGCAAACAAACAGACCCTTAAGGTTAATATATGTTTATACTATGCCTGCTTGCTCATGCATTTCCACTGACG